ACCTGGACAACAACCTGGACTGGAGACACAACTGTCTCTAAGAAGGGACAGAGCAAAGTGGAAATCTAGAGGAAGCTTAAGTTCTTCAGTGATAGAAGCAAGATGCTACATATCTTTTATAAATCTGCTGTGGAGAGTTTAATTCTATTCTATGCTGGATAACAGTATTAGAGCTAATGACTTAAAAAGCTCAACATGATAATTTAGAAGGCCAGTTCTGTTCTAGGAACTCCTCTAGGACATCTGGAGATTATTTTATAAAGAAAAACAGTGAGCAACCTCTTCGGAAGATTTTTAAACACCAACAGATTGTCTTCAGTCAGAGGTTTTATTTATTGCACTGGGTTAGAAATATAAAGAAACAGGTTATTGTTCAGGATATTAAATAGTAATTATTCTCCGCGGTTGTAGTGTGGTGTTGTAGTCTGGTTGCAGCAGGGATGAAGAAAGACCTGCGGTGGCGCTCCTTTTTACAAACGGTGTAAAATGTAGAGCTATGCTGCTATCTCATTAGGGTATTGTGTTATGAACAATATAGATATTCAATATTAATAAAATGAAGTATTATTATTTTTTTGTTTATTTGAAATGGCAAAATGCATTATACTGTAGGCCACCAGGCTATCAAAAAACAGTGATGACTGCGTAACGGCGTTTATAGCTACGGCTGATCAGCAACACCCTGTTTCAACAAGGGGGGGGGGGGTTGCTTAATGGACCCTAAAGCAGAGATGAGTTCCTGTAAATTTAATGCCAACTGAGGAAAACATCGAAAACACAAAAATACTGAGAACGAAAAACCAGAAAAACTCATGTGGGGAGCCAGAGACCAGGAAGCAGCTAAACAACCAACAAGCACTAATTTATAGTGTTTCTACTGACTTTTTAGGCAGGACAGCTTCACAGAACTTTGAAAGACAAATAGTGAAAAGTTAATATGATTGACTTGTTTTTCAACAATTGAACATCAGGCTGAAAAATATGTGAAGCAGCTCTGCTTCAACTTACTTCTGACAAATGAGAAGCACCAAGTACAGTAGAGATAATAAGTATAGAAGCTGCATTCATTTGCTGTGATGATGTAGAAAACCAGTTTGTTTTAACTGGATCATTTTAAAATGCAACCAAACATTTGAAATAGATCATACGTGCTTCTAATTAAGCAAAGATACCAGAAGAACATCGAACCAGAAGCAGTAGAAACCTTAGAGACCACAGCTCCTCTACTGTAGGGCTTTCAGGTTCTCCAGGTTTGGTGAATAGTTATTTTTTTTTTTTTAGAACTGGCAGCTTTTGCGCTTATTTTTAGATTTTATACCATAACAGCTTATTTTCAAGTGTTTGCTTAAAAGTAGAATAAGATATTTAGCAGCTGAACAGAGGAAAACCTAAATCACACTTGAAATATATCATAAGGTTTAAAAGTCTTATTCTGACTAATTGGTTTATTTGCCACAGTCAGTCGGCTTAACTGTGAATTTCTCTCTGACTAATGAGGTACTTCATAAACTGATTAAAATGAAGTCAGAGTTTTAAGAAGAAATTAAAGAATTTGCTACAATATGAGACTGCAAGAGCTTCTAACTGCCTAAAATTAAAATGCAGGGGAAAAAATGGGCATAAAAAAAACATTTTTTCATGGAAAGAACAAGCTTACAACGAAAAAAAGAACTTTGAATATGGGCATAGAAAGTCAGTGGATGATATCTGTGTTTGTTTTCTAGGTCAGGGTGAACAGGGGAAGCCCTTTCCTCTGATAGAAAGTGACCGAGTCGACCAGGCCTACAGGGAAAACGGCTTTAACATTTACGTCAGCAACCGTATCTCCCTGAACCGCTCCCTGCCAGACATCCGCCATGAAAAGTAAGTCCCTCACAAGCACAGCAGGTTGAAAGTGCAAAAGTCAGTCTGCATCTTGCTAATTTGATCCTTTAAAGACCAGAAATGTTTACACTGGTTTTATCTTTTGATCTCATTTGGAATAATGTATAGCATTAAAAATCTTTATTTAAAACAAAGTCATGTTGTGCTTTATACTGAAAGCAGGGCATCTGCTGGATGTTTGGTATTGTGTTTATGTGTGGAAGAATAACTGAAATTGTTTCTCTCAGAAAGCTAGAATAATATTGACCCCGGGGGGGAACTTTTGTTCTTTCAGTAACGCCAAAAATGCTTTTTTTTTCTGCCATGCCTTCTCTGTGACACCAAAAACTAAATCATCTTTTATATGAAAACAACTATAAAAGCTTCCATTCCACTGCTTTTCAAAATAAACATTTTATTATTTGTTGTGTTTATGGAAGGTGGGCTTCCTTGACCTTACGTCTCCCACAATAATATGACATTGCTGGAAGAGGAATAAAATAAATCAATGCAACACAACTCTCCAACAGATCCAGCTATGCAGGTGAATGAAAATGTGTTTTGGGGAAGTCTGTAGGCGATTAGAAACGTTGTTCTAAACATTATAAAATGGTTATTTATTGGTTTTGCAGCATCAAAAATAAGGATTGTATATTGCATAAATTACTAACAACACGAACCAGACAAAATAAACCTTTCTATGGCAGGTTGAAGCTGGAGATTTAGCAGGTTGGAAATTGTGCAGCTTACAGTCAGAAAAAATGCGCAGACTGCTTAAATTATTGATTTTATTGCAATCTGAACAAATGACATTGTCAAGGAGGATCCCAAATCTGCCAAAGTTAGAGCTGTCAGAGAAATAGCTCTACACTTCACTCCTGAATAGAGACTAAAGGACCTAAAGTTATATCCTAGATAAAGCATAAAGCATTATATTTCTTCACGTGGCTGTAAAGGATGATGCTAACTAACTTTGCTGCTCCACATAATCCAGAGCTATAAATAAAGCTGTTTGCACATAAAGCAGCATGTGGCAATGTTTAAAACAAAGCTCTATGAGTGGTGGGTTGTGAGGGCCTTTAAAGGTCTGGCTATCGTCCCCCAGCAGTGTGTCGCAGTAAGTGTGTCGCAGATATTGTTGATTTCTGCCCAATATTGAAGCGTGGTCTGCGCTGTTATTCCACGCCACAACGGGCCAATCAGGAACTAGCTGTGGGTCTAGATATGGCCGAGGCGGTGAGGAAGTGGGGGCAAGTTGTGCGACAACGGAGGGACATGAGGGCCGAAAACAGGGTGCAGCTAGAGGGCCCGACCCTAAGTCAGTGTTTTCTGTCCTCTGATTGGTCAGTTAAAGCAAAATGGTTAAGTTAGGCTAGTAACAATCTGCATTTTAGATTCGCTTTTGTGAAAAGTTTTTCTGGCCTCAATGGCTCAATGGACTTCCTGAAGGGTGGGTTTAGTTTATAAATAATCAGCATCTCTGGTGAGTGGGATATAGTATATTTTCATGCTTTATTTTATCTGGTAATTAGATGCATACCGAATCTACTGATGATGTAAACATGGCGGAGCTGTGGTTTTAGAGCAGAGGATTGCGGTTGTCTTAACTGGACTACTTGCTTCATTGTTCTCTGTATGAGAATTAACTTTGACTGATAGATTGCTGCAATCTGAATGGACTTTAAATCTGCTTTGAGAATTTTCAGCAGAAGTTTTTCACTTCACAATAAAAAAAGGACAAAAAACGTACTGAAAGTTTTCAGTTGACTTATACTGAATTAAATATTCTTCTCTGATTTTGACCTTTTATAATTAAACATGAAAGTGAATCACATTTAGCCTCATAGGACAATATTTACACATCAGAAAATGATGGAAGCATCCTTGGTTCATCTGTTTAGGTCATGGAAATGTGCATCGACTTTTATTCCTGAAGGAACACTTTCATTCTAACAGAGAAATATCAGCACATTCATTCCAAACAAGTAAGATGTGATGATTTATCAGGTGGACAAAATCTAAAATATAATAACAAATAGCTGGCTAACTGTGTGCATCATTGTGCAAGCCTTTGGGGTGGATGCAGGGCATCGCCAGCTGAAGAATGTGGAGGGTTGGTGTTCAGACATCCTGCTGACCTGCTGGCAGAAGATGATGGATGGATTATCATCTGGATTAAATTGCCCAGCGTCACAGAGGGGCACTAAGAAACACAAGTCTTCCTTTCAAGATTTAACTATCCCTCGGTGCAGTGGGGTTTTCTTTGAGAAGGCAGTGATTAACAGCCACACTGAGCCGTTCCCATGAAAGCCTCATCCAGATGCTGCTTGGATATAAAATTATCTGAAACTTAAATACATACACATCAAATTACGACTCGAATTGGGAAGCCGATTTCCAAAGGAAATCAGATATAAATGCACTTATTTATGTTTGATCAAGTTCTTTTTGAGTTTATGTTTTTAAACCCTTATGGAGGTCCATGAACTCAGCTCACTTTAGAAACATTTATTCTGTCAACGGTATTAAATACCTAGTAAAGTTCTTAAACATTATTAAACTTAAACATATTCATAAGATCACACTAAACAGGAACCTGTTTGGTTGTTAGAAATGTTGTGCCACTTCACCAGAAGATTATGATTGTATTAAATAACTAGAACTGGAAGTTAGTTAATTAATAGGTCATTGAAATCAAGGGTAAAACTAGTTATGTATCATCAGTTGAATGATTATAACTGTAACTTTCTTACTGACCAGGGTTTTAGCCTCTTTCTCCTAAAAGGGTTAGACTCCTGAATCCAGCTGTTAAAAATCCAGTTGTCTTTCACTAATTTAATGATTTAGACTGTGGCTCTTAGCAACGTTATTAATCATGAACCAAATAAATGTGTCTCTGTTCATTCAGATGCTACTGCAAGAAGAGTGAATCCAACCTGAGTGATAAATCCTTCACTGTGTAAAATGAACACAAAAGACCACGAGTTCAAATACATTGGTACCTTTATTAGCTGCAATCACACAGTATTATATCTAATAACTAACCCGAACAATAAACACTACTGAAAATATGCAGAATTGAAGAAATAAAAGGGGAGGAGGGGTTTAAGAGTCCGTTCAAAGTCTGTGATGTTCGAAGTTTAAGGCTTAATGTGTTTAAATGTGTCCTTCATAACAGCAGCAGATAAAATGTAAATAAACCCTGACAGATGTTACATGCAGTCAAAACAGGAAAGTTTCATTCAGTTTATGGTGAAAATGAATAATGACTCAGGAATGCATTAAACTAGAGATGAGGCTGAAAGACCCATCGGTCTGTAGTGAGCATTGGCATTCAGTTAAACCTTAAAACCATCAGCAGCTGAATCGGAAAGCTTATTTCAAATAAAAACACCAACTCAGCTATCTGTCTACCTATAGTTCACCCAAGCAGAGCACTTATTACGCATCAGAAGGGGGGGGGTACTGTTTGGTACGTGCAGGGAAGGCCTTCAGCTCCGTCCAGTCCGTTCGTCCAACAGCTACTCAAAGAGATTTGGATCAATCAGATGCAACAATAAGAGGCGATTTGGAAGGGGCCTAATTTTATAACTCACGGTATCTTTATCGTCAGTTGATTGGTCGGTTGGTAAGGTAGGATAGCAGCTACTCTGCAATTAGCTCATTGTTGGCGATCAGACACCAACCTGCACATCTGCTGATGTTCACTGAAAGCACGTTCACTATCATCCGTCTCCCAGTTGAATGAGATGAGGTGTTTTAAATAAACCACCCAGTCAGATTTCCATCTCTGCAGCTTTTATATGTGAATAAACAACATGCTGGCTGATATTCAACACCTGCTTTCATCCACTGACACAGACCCCTAGTATCCACAAGGGAACATTCCTCACCTCCCATGATGAACATGCCTTCAGGCGATAAGCAACCTGCTGGGCTCATTTATAAGGAGGTTGCTGCAACACATGTTGGCCGCCATGACCTCTGCTAGTAATGAAATTAAAACCTTGTCCTGACATATTTGCAGCATCGCTGAGCTTTATTACTCAGAGAGTTTGTTATTCAGTGTCTTCTCACTGTAATTACTGAGTGCATTTCATTTCATTTTCTATGGATTGTTTACATGTTAGTAATGCTGCTAATAAACCCCTAACAGAAAATTGTTGCTGCCTAAAATTCAGTGTCACAAAAATTGTGTTTCAGTTTTATAAACCGAAACAGTTTTTAATATGTTAATTACAGTCAGTTCACCTTTAATAAGTTTCTCCTTTATTACTGTGCTGGGTTAATATTAGTTATATGTGACCCTGCCTATGAAAACCCAGCTAAAGTCATTTTGTGGTGAATCTCAACTTAATGTATAAAACCATTCTACACAATGTTAAGAATGTATTCTGAAAAAATGACTTTAGCTGGGTTTTCATAGGCAGGGTCACATATATATATGTATATATATATATATATATATATATATATATATATATATATA